TTAAGAGCTGGCCCAGCCTTAAACAGTCATATTCTCCTGCTCAGTCAGTATTTTACATCATTATGATTTTTCTCTGTTATGTGCTAGAACATGAATTTTCCCCCACATTTTTGAACATGCGGCAGCAGAGCTTACCTGAGACAAAGATCTCCAGTCCATATTTGCACTACCAATATATATGTGTTTCATGTCTACAATCCAGAATTTGCTATGCAACACTCCTCCTGCCAAATGTCCAAAATCAATCTTTTTTACATGAGCCCCTGAAAAAAGATGGGGAGGAGAAAAAGAGTTTAGATACAGCATGGAGATGGAAATCTATACTGCTCACCTGACAGCCAGAACATGTCTGGATGTCTAATACTTGCAGTCAGTAATAATTACCAAAATTCACAAGCACTCATTCCTGGGAATACAGTGACTTTCAAAAATATACAAAATGTGAACTTTCAGAAAAATCCTTAAGGGCATGACAACACATGCAGAAATCATGAACTAGTGAACACATAGTGCTTGCCCTGTGAGCCCATGTAAGCACCACGCCAGAACAGGCCTTGGAGACCAGAATTGCCTTTTTGCAATTCTGAAGTTCTGAGTGCATCACTGAAGTGCGATAATTACCTTTTTCCTCTAAAAGCTCAAGGTCAGTTGAATTTGTAGCCAAAGTTGGCATACTTGCTGCAACATACACAGAGATGTTCTCTGCGAGTAATCTCTCAAACCTCTTCAGAATATCTTCACCCTGCGTGGTACATTGTTCGTTATTTTTTATATTTTGTTATAGAACATTTAGTAAGATATTACTAACATTAGTGATATTAGTATAACTAACATTACTAACATTAGTAAGTGTTACTAATGGATGCTTCATTTGAAGAACCCCAACACAAGGAAGGCCAGAAATTTCACCTATTTGAGGAGTGTTTCAAGTAGAGAAAAAATGGAACAGAGATTCTGATCCAATGTATGAATCAAAGTTTATTTTCTGTTGTTTAATGCTATTAGATATAAGGTATAAAAGTGTGACCACAAATATCCCAGACTTCGAAGATGAATGCTCCAATGAAGATCAACTGCTTGATGTTGATGCTCAACAGGTATGCTGTGTTATTTCTCCCTGAGGATAAAAGTAACAGAGGCTGTCCTACACTGAGCTCAGCCTTACATCTGTCACTTTTACTTCTTCTCATGTGGAGGAAACGAGTCATCTTACAACACCAGAGCCACCTGGGGAGGAAGATGAGGCAAGCAGTCCCAGACAGCCCATGAGGACAATGAGGAAGATGTGCCAGGAGGCAGGCAGAGGCTCAGCCCACAATAATAAACAGGCCAGCATCTGGTCTATCAGCAAACAGCACAATTCCTGACACGTGAATAAACTCCACACCTGCCTGAAATAGGGTGGCCTTGTCCCTTCTGCTTTTCAGAACAATCCCCTAGACCCTGCTCAGGATTGCCTGGGAGGTTGCCAGCTGCCACAGACCAAAAGAGAGCTAAGGGACAAATAAACATGATGGATGGTTGCAAGGTGAACCTGTGCTATGGTCATTTACTTTTGGTGGTGGAGCCAGGGAGGCCCGGCAGGAAGCCTGGCTGCACAGGGTGCCCAGGAGGACAGTCCTGCAAAGGAGAATGAATGTCCTAAGCTTCTGTTCAATGGCATCATTCAGGGACACTTGCAAAATAGGTGAATGCAGATGATGTGTCTGTACACGGGGGAGAAGGAGCCTCTGAAAGCAGTCAAAAGTCCAGCAGGCTTTGCATTCTGATCCTTTCAGCTAGCCAGTGGGAACTGGCATGTTCACTTGTGTATATGGGATCCTGCAGGCTCTTCAGCCATGCCACTGGCTGCCCCTACCAAAGGCTGACCATCTGCAGGGTAAGTGAGTGTGGTTTTGAGGCTGACCTCTGGTTGCTCTTAAAACACAGCATAGAAATATTCAGAGACATGGAAAGAGCCCAGACAGAGTCTAAATTGACTGGAGGAGGAAAGTTGGTGTGTTGCTTCAGACCACCATGGAAAACCTTTCTGGGTTTGCAGGAACAGTCAAGCAATGTCTCTGGGAGACAGACCACACAGTCAATTGGCCACAGGTACATGAGACATACAACCACAGACGTGCTTGTCATTGATTTTCTCCTACCTGCTTGGAAGATGAATCATTGATGTTGATATCCTTCCCAGTAAGAGACCAATAGTAAGAAGCCACATGAATTTTTTCCTGGGCTATGTCAAGGAGTCTCATCCAGGCTTGGTACAAGGGTTTGGCTGCAGTGCTATTTATCTCAAAAGCTAAGTCATAAGGAACATTTTCCACAAGTTCAAAGCTGCAATGGCAATTGTATATTGTGAAGCAAGCAACTGCGACCCAAGCAGGAAGCCAAGCACCTGTCAGGCCAGACAGTTTGGATATCAACCTCAAAAGCAAACAAGCTGAGCTGGACAAACAAGCTGGGAGTACTCTCTATCCCCAGTTTTTATAGCCAAGCATATATTGTACATTGTCCTCCCAAATCCAGCAGAATGGCTTCTCAGTAGCTGTTCTTAGCTTTTTATTTTACCACCCTATAAAGATGAGGAGAAAAGTAACCCCCTGGGGCTGGATGTGGCTTTGGTACCCTCTCCACCCTCTCACAGGACAAACATCCCTGGACTGACCCCTCCAGCCTCTGAAGGAAGGCGAGCTCAGTGGAGGATGCTTTGCCCACTGGTTGCCCTGCTGCCTCCCACCGCTGCCACAAAGGGAGGATGGCTGGAGGTGGTGGAGTAGCAACAGAGCTGTGCTGACCATAGAAGCACAGGACCAGTAGTGGAGCTGTGATACTGGCCCTACTGCCCCTCATAATGGGCAACTACTAATAACCTCTTGCCTAAACAACATCCTCACTCTTCCTGAATTAGTGGTACTTTATCACTTACTATACAATGGGAAAAGAACAAAAGCTACTCTGATATGGTCAGCATTGTAACTATTTCTCCACCTGATGATTACTTCTCCATGTTCCTGGCTTACCTGCAGGAGTCATTGGATCTATTGGTGTCCTCCTCAATTATCGTGGTTCCTGGGTGATCTCTGTAGAGTCCTTCTTCCTCTTCCAGCTCTTTGTAAATGCCGACAATGGCTTCTTCTCCGTTAGGATCAACTATGCTGCGCACTCTCATGAAGCAAACAGTCATCAGGACAACAAGACCAAGTATCAAAATTGCCTCTAAGACTTGAAACTAGGACAGAATCCAAATAGGAAAAGATTTAAGTGGTTACCAAGTCACTGATACACCAGCTAACGGATGACTACCTGTTGCAGGTGAGTAAATCACAATCTTTAAACAGTAGTTCTGCTTTCAGCTACTGGCAGACAGTATTCTTAAATACATCACTGAAAGTGAGGACCACAAGCTACACAGGGGTTGGTTTAGGTGAGGACCATGATATTAGCTTTTGTTTAATTTTTCCTGTGCCAACATATACAAAATCTGTTTTTTCCCAAACCTTATGATTAGTTTGATGCTGATTAGCTTTAATTTAGTACAAACCAAATTGGCGTTCAACAAAATTTCTACCAAAATCAAAACAAGGGAATCCATAACACAAGATTAGGTGCAGGATCAAGCCCAGCACTACCATAAAGAGGAAGTTCATGAAGTCAGGGGAGAAAAAACAGGTCTGAAAATGTCAGAAGCAGAAGGACATTTTGTGGTTTCTGAACATGTTCTGGTTTTATCTTCTAACTTAAACCTCACTTAAGTGAAACTACACAGATCTCATTTATCCGTGTGGTGTATAAATAGTATTTCCTTGTCGTTCTAGTGTAATGAGTTAGCTTCATTTCTCTTTTTATGTACTGACTTTTTTTTCCTGTATGTAGATGAAAAAAAAAAAAAAGCCTGGCCACCTGGTATATCCAGATATGGACTCCAGCCACTCACATGCTGAAACGTATAGCACCAGGCTCTATATGTTGCCCTGTACCAAGGAGGAAAAGACAGCTACCAGTGTAGATCCACTTCCCCCCAACAATTACCATGTCTGGCTCCTGATGGCAACACTTGGGAGCTGGGACCATCAACCACCCTGTGATAGGCAACGTGCACTTCAGAGTTGAGCTTTAGAACCTCCAGGCAGGAGAACGGAGTCTGGGAGTGTTTGTGAGGCTGAAGCTATAAATGTGAGCTCCTGAAAGGCTACATATGAAAATTGCACAGAAACCAGTTACCTCTGAAAGTACCTATTTCAGTTTCTGTGTGCATGAAGTTTCTTACTTTGCATTTTCTCTGTTTTTCTCAAGATCTACAGTGCTGCCATCTATTTCATGGTAGTGATTTGAATGAGAAAAACATTTTTAAACTGACTATCTACTTAAATTTTTGCCCTCTGGCTTGTTCTCCCTCTCATTGAGGGCAAAAAAATCCCACCAATTTTTAACAGTTCTGCATTTCATCCTGTGAACACGTTGGCAAGACTTAAACATCACACAGGTTTTAGAAGACATTTCTAAGGTAAGAGATCTATTTTGAAGTCACACCTTTGCTCTTGCCATGCTGTACACTGTGATGTCCAGCTGCTCTAGGCATGCTGAATAAATAAATAAATGCTGTGCTAATGGTGGAAGTCAGGCCATTTGTATGAGCAAGGTTTACTGTCCTGAGCTGGGGCTGCAGGATTAAGCTCCACATTACTCCCTCTTGGCAAGGTTTGATCCGGCTGCTAGATAAATCAACAGGGTTTCGTCATTTACTTGTTTACAAATAGAATTGAAACATACATGAATTTCTAAAATGGGCAATAAAGTCATTCTTCTTACTCTGTTATTCCTTTTCAGAAATTTAATGTAATCTCAGCTCTTGTAAGCAAATGTAGTGTATCCCAATAATTACCGTTTTGACGTCTTTTTGATTGTTCACGCTTAATTTCATGTTGGAGGATTCATTGAACATCAGGGATGTTTTTAGTGCTTTTTTCACAATCTGAAAAACAGAAGTATATGCAAGGGGAAGAATAAAGCTTTATGGCAACATTTGTATAAGGCCAGTTACAGACTGAAAATGCAGGTTACTGCCATTGCTTTATATAGTGCTCTGAGATTTTAGTACAGATCTGTGCAACGACCTCACTGTATTATGGGTCTTGAGTGACATTAGCAGATTCCAAAGTGAAAGGGAGAGACAGGTCCCTGGAGTTTTTCCCTGGTGCTCTCTACACACAAAAATCACTGCAGTAATTAATGTGTAAACAACTGCATCGCTGCCTCTTCAAGTTATCCTTCAACACCCACTCTTGTGCTGTTGCAAGCTAACACATTTGCCAACAAGCAATAATTAAGCACAGAAGCTGTGGGTGATAGTGTACAGCATCAATGTCATCCTGTGTGTGACTCTATTAGGCTCCTGCTCTCATTCTGTGCCTAGGAGTTGTCTTCAATGCGAGTGGCTCTTCCAGAAGGGACTCTGCTAAGGGGACAGGGATCAGGCTGAAGTATAAACTCCTCTTCTCCCCCGTTGCAACCATGACCCTAGAAAATAAGTTAACTTCTTTTCCTTCTCAGACAGTATTGCTCCAATCTTGTGTTATCACCAGCAGAGGCAACCAAAAGAGCAAATACCAAAATATGCTGAAACTCAAAGCAGATGGTAGGGCAGGGGTAGTTGGCCGCCTGCCTATTTTGCCTTCTCAAAAGGTCAAACCAAAAACTTTACACATGCCTAATGGGTCATGAATCATTCCTGCCTCGGCAGAGGGGAGTTTACCCCATAGAAGTCAGCTGTCACTTTTCACGCTCACAAGCAAGAAGCACATCCTAGGGTATGGTAGATTTCAAAAAGTGCTACCAGATGATATCACCACCTGTCCAGTCCCCAAATTACCGCTTCCTATCCCTGAGCCACCGGGCGTTTGTAGCCTCGAGGATGAACGTGCTGTAATGGTATCAGATATGCAGCTGCTCTGTGGGTGGCCACACTCAAACAAGTTTTAGGTAGGAAGGATTCTGCCAGGCTTGTCCCATCCATCTTGCCATATGTTCACAGCTATTGACAACTGAATTGGATGGGCTCATGGTCTCTGCCGTCCCACACCAGTAAGGCAGCATGGCCACACACATCCATGCTGCACCCAACTCCTGCCCACTCCACCTTTCTGTACAGGTGCTGTAACCGTGTGGAACAGGCAGGAGTTGGACACAGCATGGACATAGCCCCAAAGGCTTCTTGTGGGACCCAACTCACAAGAACTAGTGGGGCTGAACCAAAGAGGTGGAGGATGTCTTGGGAGACAAAGGAGCTGGGTCTGAAACAGTGACTTGGTTAACCACAGAATCAATTAGGTTGGAAGAGACCTCTGGGATCATCGAGTCCCACTTTTGCCCTAACACCACCATGTCAGCTAGACCATGGCACTGAGTGCCACCTTCAGTCTTTTCTTAAACACCTCCAGGGATGGTGACTCCACCACCTCCCTGGGCAGCCCATTCCAATGCCTAACGATCCCTTCTGTGAAGAAATGCCTCCTCATTTCTAGCCTGAACTTCCCCGGTGAAGTTTCAGACTATGCCCTCTTGTCCTGTCACTGGTTGCCTGGGAGAAGAGGCCAACCCCCACCTGGCTACACCCTCCTTTCAGGTCGTTGTAGAGAGCGATCAGGTCTCCCCTCAGCCTCCTCTTCTCCAGGCTAAACAACCCTGGTTCCCTCAGCTGCTCCCCATCAGACTTGTGCTCCAGACCCTTCACCACCTTCGTTGCCCTTCTCTGGACTCACTCCAGTGCCTGGAGCAGAGAGGGATGTGAATACGGAGAGAGATGTGAAAAGAGATGACCTAAGGTAAAAGAGGAGACAAGAAAGAATGAGAAAGGTGAAGAGGGAAGAAAAGGTATGAACAGTCATGCTTAAAAGCATGCTAGAGCTGCAGAGATGAAATCTAGGTTTCTGTTTCAGGGTTTGCTGCTGTTATTATCAGCTGTAATCACTATAGCAGTTGAAATCACTACTTTCCAAGGCAGTTTTACTCACACTTTTCACTGGCACTTCCTTTTGCTGCCCACAGAGTCAGATGTAAGATTTTACCGTAGAAATAGTTATAAATGCTGGCAGGTAAACACCCATTCTCCCAGCCCCAGAGAAACTGAGCTGCTGCCAGCAGTGAAGGGCAATTGGCCGTTCCCTGGCGAATGTCAGGTCCCTGTGTCCCTGAAATCCCAGTTCATTCTTTAAGCACAGTACAAAAATGCGATGTCTTACCCCAAAGAGCTTACAGCCCAAGCAGAGACGAGGGACATAACACACCACACAGAGAAAGCTGTGTGACAGCAATGCACATCACTCCCCCACCTTGAGAGAAAGCGGTCAAATATCAACCCAGAAAACTTAGTGGGAAGAAAAGGAAGTGAGAGCAAGAGATAAGATGCTAAGGAGTTTGGTAGGAAATCAAGGCAAAGGGATTTTAAAGGAGGAGGAGAGAGGCAGCTGAGAAACAGCAGCAGCAGCCCTTCAGCCTGGGCCAGGAGAGCCTGGATAGGTTGCAGGTCACGCTCCACAACTCACTGCTTTGGTAGCAGCTGTCCCAACCAACTGGGCTACCCAGTAACAAACAGCCTCCCCGGCTGCCCCAGGTGATTCTCATCACAGAACCACAGCCTGAGAGGTCTCATCTTGTTCTTCTAGTCCCCAAAGCTAAAGTGGTCCCCACGACACATTCAGTGACCCAGACAGTGTCTTGGTTAGGAACTGCAGCTGTAGGTGGACTTACAGCCGTGCGATGGCTTCAGAAGGACGGAGTTTATGAGAAACAACTTGTTTCAGTTCTCTTTTTCAGCAACAGTTAAAAAATGGCTTCAAAAAGCAGCATTTCTCTTACAGTATGAAAGTGAACAGATCTCATATGTGCCATAATAAAGTCATCTACAATTTGGTTCAAACAAAGTCCTTCTTGATGTCTTTGACCGGTGATGAGTTAAATTTCCAGCTGCTACACAGAAGTCATGAGAACGGCACTAAAGTATGCAGTTCAATTTTCAAGAAAGAAAACATCATAGACTCAACCAGAATTCTTAAGAATAATATTGTAGCTGGTCAGTAATTAACTATGGCTCCCTAGAAGCTTTCCAGGCTTTACCAGCTGCCAATTTCAATGAGTAAAGTTCATCCAAGAGCAATAAATACAAGCACTACTTAGCATTGCTTCACAGACTGGAACACAAGTAATACCACAATCTGCTGAGTACACACTGGAGACTGTTGTTTATAACATTAAGGCTGCTTTCGCCCTGCCCCCAAAATACCTTTTAGTATTTCTTTTCTCCATCAGCAACAAACTGTTTCAGAGTTTGGATTTCAAACAGAAGGATGAGATTTTTTCAGTATACAAAATCCTCCCCAGAAACTGTTTGAAGCTCCTCAGATGAACAAAGTGCATTCATCTCTCTATGACCACCTCCCAACACTCTCAAGATGATGGCAAATGTACTTACCATCTTGCAAGACCTCCTCCTGGGTGGTTGTCCTATGGTAGTCTGGTCTTACTCCCAACTCCACTTACAAGAGGCAGCGCACATGCTTTTCGACAGCAGATTTGTTTTGGGTTCTTCTGGTTTTTTCCTCCTCCTGCTGCAGGTTACTTCCTCTTAAACACTGAGTTTCACAACACGTACTGACAGTTAGAGTCCCAAGTTATCATCTAGTTGTTGCAACCCAGTTCCTAGACTCCAGGTCCTGATCTTCACCTGTTTGGCAAAACTTTCTGCAGTGCCTGACCTGGTCCAAACTCTGTTGAATGACTAAGATCCCATTGCTCTCGGTGGTTTAAAATCAGAGCCTAGATCAGCACTAGAAGACACTGGTTGAAAGAACTGCTCAGCTTTCATGCAGTTTGCATCCCAGACACGGCAGTATTCTCACTGCTTCATTCTTAACCCACCAGAAGCAAACAAAACACCTCTCTACCCAGTTCCTCTTGAAAGCACCATCCTGCTCAATCATCCTTGGGCAAACATAAGGGAGGAAACGAGCTCCTTTGAAATAATACAGCTTTCTTCTGAAACAAATCGTGTTTGGAATTTTCAGTGACGTTGAGGGAGAAGGTTACATGCAATGTTGAGTTTGAGGCAGCTTCTAAGAAATGATGCCTTCTGTAAAAATCCAAAGGTTGCACCTCAGTCGACACAGCTCAATACAGCAACGCTGTTGTTATTCTCCAGGCAGTCCCTCAATCCTATTGAGCCAAAGGATGCAGTTCCCTAGTTCAGTACCCGAGGAAGGCTGCTGTAGGGCAGAAACAACGGAGAGACAACCGAGGACTAACAAGGATCACAAGGCTTTATCATACCTTGTATCAAGCTGCGGAAGATGGAAAAGCTAAGAGGAGCCAGAGGATAGGTCAGGTATGGCAGAAAGAGACCTTTCTCTGGGAAGCTGGAGGTGTCATGAATCCTCTGCTTCCCCTGGAACCAAAACACAAGCAGTAACCCAAAGAAGGCCAAAAGTGAGAGAAAAGGAAATGGTGGAGCAGATAGGACACCTGTCTGACCAGCCAGCTGTCTCCTGAATTTACTGCTGTGCATAGATCACCTGTTACTGGGGCCATCCCAAATCTCTATTAAAACAGGGCTTAAAAAGAAGGCAAAGGTTACTGCCATCCCTTTAGACTCAGATTACCAGAAAGCCAAAGGCAGGATCCTGCTTGACCGAGACTTCATCTGCAGTCAGGTTAAAGAGGCAAGTCCAGCGAGCCACCATGCAAGCCACGCATCCTCTGGGACATGTCCCTGTACCTCCGCTCACTTCAGAGGCTGAGCATCCAAACTAAATATTTCAGCCAAGCACCTCATGAGTTCAAGTCAGCGTGTGTGCCGTACATGTCAGCAAGCTTAGCAATGAGCCGCCTTGCTCTGTTTATGTGCAGGACTGAAATCCTGGCATGAACTATGCCGACATAAATCACAAAAGC